GTAGATATATTTTAAGTAACATGCTTAAAAGTGGTTACCTTCTGTCATTTCCACTTGTTCCAAATTATTCCAATTTCGTTTGGGCTGGTCATAATGCTGGTATGCATTTGTGTCTGGTATTCTAGTGTAGAAATTGCACGGGGCATCCTATTTGGTCGCCTCCATTTAACCTATACTCTTTTTTTTTAAATTTTTTAACTTGTACCCACTTTTTAGACAATTTCAGCTCATTTTTCCTCCTCCTTCGTTTTCTTCTTGTTCTTCTATTAACAACTGAAAATTAAGACTTGGTCAAGCTTTTTTATAAATATAAATGGCAATCTCAAGAAAGGAAGTTTCTTTTACTTGTCTGTTGCTTATGGTATTTTGTTCACGGCTTCTCACTAAGGAAAAGACAATCTTCAACTGCCAAATGATTCATTGCTTTAGATCAAGCAAGCCTTTAATAAAAAACAATTTCTACTTAAAAACTTAGCATTTGCAGTTTTGGACTCAACTGGTTGGTGATATTCCCTAAGTAAATTTTCTTTTCTGTTTTGTTTTATAGCTAATCTTAGAAGGAAACACAGATTCCCATTGTAAGCGTGAGCAATGGTTTTATATATTCTTCCTTTTATGTTTTGGTTAGAGTCGCAAAAGTGAAAGAAACAAATACCTATGAACAAGGGGAGGATTACACTCATGGTGTAAATAGGCTAAAACTTCAGCTTTAGAGCTGAGGTTCGCCAGTTACAAACAAAAACTTCGGCTACTAGAATGCTGAAGTTTTGCATGATTGCCTTTGATAATTCAGCCCCGTATGCTGAAGTTATGCAAAAAAGCGGGTACGCTTGCAATTTTTTTTGCAAAGCGGGCACAAAATAAAACGTGACACAAAAAACGGGTATAGATGAAAATGCCCCTATTCTAGTCGAGGAGCAAATACGTACTAATCCACTTAGGCCCAGCAGCTGATTTGCCCAAGTGCCCAATAGCTCAAGTCTTGAAAATACTAAAATATCCCGGCCCATTCTAAAGAATTTTGATTCACTTCACCACCTTTTCTCATCCTTAGGGATCACGTTGGGAAAATGTTACTGTGGAAAACTTACCCTTAGATTCCCTATCAAGCTTGTTGTAGTCACCTGTATAGAGCTACACTCTACTTTTTCAACATTAAAGATGATACTTAAGAAACAGCAATATATCTCCACTTTGTCACAGCTTCTGGGTTGCATATCTAAAGAGTAAATTCATGTGCTTTAATTTCTAAGTTCATGGAAGATCTCTTATACACAGCCGGGTTCAACTGAACCCGCTGTATCAAAAAATAATATTGTGTATATGTATAAATTATGATTAAAGCTGCGTAAATTTTGTATAAATATTTTATTTGAACCCATTTGACAATTACTATTTTACGACTAAAGTTATATACTTCTAAGATTTAACTCGCTTGCACAAAATCCTGGATCCGTCATGGCTAGTACATATCATAAAAAAAGCAGCTTACTGTTTTGCACTGCTAAAAAATGACCTATTATTGGTAGCTCAAAAGAAATGGAATAAATGTTTGAAAGTTTTAATCGTTGACATTCAAAAATTGGCCTCCAATTAACTTTGTCTAAACTATGTGCATGATCACTTTTTCGTGTGATATGTAATGTGGAGATATTGTGATTTGCTAAAAAAAATAATTAATGTCCCCAACAACCTTCAGCTATGAAAAACTTGCATTTATCAGTCTGCATCTTCAATATAAGAAAATAGATGAGTCATCCACTGCCAGCTTTTTCCTACTGGCCGTGTACGAGTTTTGTTGGTAATATTTGATGATCTATTTTATGTCATATCTTAATTTGAGGATATTGATCTACTCATGAATGAGTCATGACTGACTCATCTGCATGTCTCTTCTAACAAAGATGTTTCTGGATGCATAAGTTGCAACAACCTGTCTTATTTGCATGTCCCGCAGCCCGAAATTCTTTTCTTTTTTGTTCACGCTAAAATACAAACAATAAAATATGAACTTTTGCATAATTAGTAGTGTCTCAGTTATAATTCTTCTAGCTCTACTTTAAGTTTTTGCAAATGAAGTTCCTATATGAATTCTGAATTCCTACCGAATGACTCATTTAATTTCTTGCTCAGTAACCAAAAATAAAATAATTGAAGTTCTCATGAAAACTTGCATAGATTCTCCATCATTTGCCATCACTTGCACCACAAATCCCTCCCTGTAGAGCAGGAGTATTTTTGTCTCTTTTGCAGAGCCAAGCATTATTTAACCTTAAATTTTGATTTGTATAGTTTTCCACTTAATAAAAATATGTGTGCATGAACTACTTTGTAGGCTTCTGTCTCTGCACCTGTAAAAGATTCTGCTACTTTTACTTTTATGAAATTGTTGAGCGTGAGTACTTTATCTGTATCTACGTACCCAACAGTGATAAAATGTGTTTTTTGTGCTCATTTTAACTGGAATTCATGGCTGAAGCATCTAACAATGTTAGTAGTTCTCTTATTGGGGCTGTTTGTGTGTCAAGAGAAGACAGTGGAATCTATAGAATGAGCAAAGTTTGTGATCTATATTATAACTTACAAGCAAGGAACTATATAAATTATTGTTTCCTTGGGTACCTTCTCTAACGAGGAAAAATTATACAGGACAGCCATTGGCTAGTGGCGGATATAGCATAGTATCAAAGGGTTCAACTGAATCCATAACTTTTGACGCGGAGTAAATTTTTATATGTTAAAATTACAAAAATAGTATATATAAACCCATAACTTTAAAAATATAATAGGTTCAATGCTAAAACTTTAAAAGTTGAACTCATAGAATTTAAATCCCGGATCCGCTTATGCCCTTGGCTCTGTTGTTCCAACAAGGACTACATAAAATTTTGGAGTGCATACTTGTAACAAATTGTTTGGCAGGTGTTAATAGAGATTTCAGACTTGTTTGGACACGATTTTCTGATTCTTGTTTTCTTTTTCAACTTTCTATCTTCACACAGAGAGGAGTGTGTTAGGTGAAGAGTGGGTGTTGGGACATGGCCAATTAATGAGCTGGAGCTACTGTAACGTTGTTCTAACTTGGAATTCAACTAGCTGCAGAGTTATTTAATTTTTGGATGTCAGTTCTATATTTGGACGTTCATGAAGCTTCCACGAAATTTCGAAGGTAGGCAGGGCAGATGTAGTAATGCTCCAGCAGTTCATTATGTAATAATTCACAGAAAATTTCGACGAATACAAATAAATTTGACTTCATAATTTTAAAAAATTTTAAAGGTCGAACCCAACATTATTCTAGATCACACCTATTTGGGTAGGTGAATTATGCAGCTAATTAAGATAGCTTTGTTTAATACATCTGATCTGTTAATACAATATAGTCATGATATCTCATAAAGACTTTGTTTATTTGATTGTGATAGAGACAGGATTCACTGCGGATTGTGAAAGTTACAATTTTTACAGACGTGACGACTTGCCTGTTAGGTTGGGGATATAAAGTATACGAAGTGGTACGTAAAAATCATGCTCTAGCATTAATTGACGGCAGAAAAAGAATCGGCATTCGGGCCAGCCACCTGGTGGTGTGGTACTTAGTAGGTTTAGTACACCCCGCTCAAACTTCTAAAATTAACTTATTTTGAGATGTATTTTTTTTTTCTCAAAATTACTTTTGACAAGAAGCAATTTGTGTTTGCTTGTATTTCTGAGTAGTAAATAGTACTTGGCTAAGCTTCAAAAATATTTGTAAGTGTATTTTTTTAAAAAATGAGGAAAAATTACTTTTTTCTACTTCTACAAAACTGCTTCAATTTCTACTCAAAAGAATTTCATTTTTCTTCTAAAAACTCGCCAAACATTTCAACTTTAAAAAAAAAGTGTTTTTAAATTTGGAGAAGCTAAACCAAACAAACAAGAGCTTAGTCTTTTTATTTCCATTATTTACTCAAGATCGCACAAGGGATTTGCAGCCTCCCGAAGAGTATTACTTAATTAGGGACAATGATGTAACACCTCAAACTTTAGACAGAATCCCATATCGGCAAAACACAAGAGGGATGCTGGGTATATAAGTTAACAAGCCTTAAATCTTAGTGACGCGTTTTAAGTCCGTAAGGGCCTAAATCCGGAGCGGACAATATCACTAGCGGGTTGGACCTTTACAAATGAGAACTTAAATCTTCAAATCATAGACTGATATAGGTCTATGGTTGTTCATGATTCATATATTCGTCCGCAACTAACTTAAGTGTTTCATTATTTTACTTATAATGCATAACTTTTAGAAAATCAAGTTCCTTTTTTTGTTATTAGAACTCGTACTATGAATCCCAAAATTGACATTTCATGAAAATGATGCGTCATTATAGATAATATATGTATTATTGGAGAGGGTAATTATCATGTGCCATGTCCTTTTCACGATCGACGTTCGGAAACAACTAGTACTAATTTGTTAATAACTAGTAGGTCCTCCAGTTGCCTACTTGCCTGTTCCTTTTTGTACATCAATTTGCTTTAAAATGATTGAACCCGAATTCTCTTGTTTCTTCGATTCTTCTGATGTGGAGTAGTTCGTGCCTTCTGGGGCAACAACTTGTCATTTATTTTGCGGCTCTTTACTTCCGTGACATTTTTGGATTATTTTTCTGGTGTTAAGCCATATGCTTAGACATTAAAATCCAATTTGAAACTTGGTAGTTAACCAACGATATTACTTATAGCCCGTTTGGAAGTATTTTGTGGGTCAAAAGGGTTTTTTCCAAAAATTGAGGTGTAAAAAAATGCAGAGAAAGAGAAACAATTTTGGAAAAACACAAAATATTAGCTTCTCTCCAAAGCATTTTTTTTTAAAAGCACTTTTGAGATAAAATATTTTTCAAAATAAGCTGAATCTTGTATTAGATGTGTGCTTTTTGCATCTTTAGTAAGTTTTATAGTTGAGGAACATTAAATCTTAATCATGGCCAATAAATCATAAATAACATGCCATATAATCATGAGGGAGAAAGAAATAAACACTTTTAATTATTCAACAATTCGTCTCCACTTTGGGTACCTTTCTTCCATATCTAATAGGAAACCAAATATAACAAAGGTGCTACAACAGATGGAGAAAGATACTACAAGAGGACCATTTTCTGATCAGTGAGGATACCAACTCTAAGATTACTTAAGAGGCTACGCACATAGCTTATTTTCATAAAATAACACAAGAAGATATTCCCCGAGTATGCTCCTTGTGCATTTTAACCACTTGGTTTGCCTGATCAAGATCATTTCTGCCACGCCATTGAATTATTTACAGTAGTTGGGTGATGGTTCCTCGCTTATTCTTACTACTAATATAGTCTTCCATTGTCAATCAGAAGTCAAGAAGTTGCGACTTTAAGTCTCCTGCTCAACTCCTTCCTGCAAACACAAATGGACTCAAATTAAGAACATGGAGCATAATACTGTTATTTATATATTTTTAGATTTTTTTTACTGATGTTTACCTCATGAGTTGCCTGTCGAATGCCGATGTAGATAACATGCCTCTGTTTTCTTCAGCTCTCCTCATAAGGTAGTGCATAATCTGGTCAACAGGTCCAAATGGCAAATACTTGCTCACTTGAAATCCTGCATTTCTCAGCCCAAAAGTAAGTCCCTCTGCCATACCATATAGCTGAGCAAATTGGAGCTTTTGACTATCCTTGATTCCCATATCTATTGCTTTAGTTGCAGCAAGCTTTCCTATTTATGACAAACACATTATACCGGTTAGACAACAACTTTAAAATTCATCAAACATAAATAAAAGACCAAACTTTTTCGATCATTACCTGACTCAATGTTATGAGTAGCAAGAACAACTGCTCCAGAGCCATTAGCAATCTCTTCGATCATAAACTCAGCACAAGAATTGAAGCAAGCATGTGTTTGTTCAATGCTATCATGAATAGGAGATTGGAATCCTAATCGAGAAGCCAACTCTCTTTCACTACACATATAAGCACCTCTCACCAACTTAAATCCCATTGGAACTCCCATTTTCTCTGCAGCTTTTTTCGCTATCGCCATTCTTTCTTTCGCATCTTTCAAGTAAGCTTGAATTGTTCCGAAAATCAACGGGCCGTCGTCTTTGTGGTACTTAATTGCTGCAGAATAAGCCATGTAATCAATTCCAGGTTGAATAGTTGTATCCTCGGCATCAATGAGTAAAGGAACATCGTGTTCCAAACATTTCTCGCAAATTTTCGTTAGTCTTTCATGAGCTAATTGTAGATCACGCTCTTCCTCTACCGTTAGAGGCTCTGGTTTTTTCGAAGTGTGATAAAGAGGGCTTGATTCGGCGAAAAGTGGAAGTGTCTTTTGCTTCCATGGAAGATTGAATGAAGGATCTTTGTGTTCCCATCTCAGCAAATCACTCATTCTTTTGAGCAGCCGAGGTGTACAAATTGCAGTTATCTTCACCACCACAAAGCTAGTCTGTTTCATCATAACGGAGTAACATTATTAGAGATCTTTTGATGTATACATTCCATTTCATTCAGACAAAAACAAAAAGTGAGATCTTTATTGTTGATTGAAAGTAGATCCAAGAATTTTGGAAGAATCTTTCAGATTCTTTTAGTATAAAAGTGAATCTTTGAATTCCTTTTTCGTTAATAAAATCATTCAAAAAAAAAAATATTAAATTGTGTACAGAAGATCTTCCTTTTCAGGAATATTAAAATATTACTATACTAAATTACTAGTATCTGTCTGTTAAAATTCTGAAAAACAACTTAAGGAATTGGATCTTACCGAAGATTGTGGTAGTGATTTGGTTGATTCAATTGTCTGAATAAAGGCTTTCATACTCTGTTCACAAGACTCATTATTGGTGGCATGTTCCACCCCATAATCAAGCATGGCTTTTAAGCCGCCGTCCGATAGTTTGCTAACGGTCCTACGGACTTCCGTTAAGTCTTTTCCAGCACAAAAATGTTCATAAAATGTATTCTTAACAAATCCCAGCATTACCTCCCTAAAAATAGGCATTTCCATGAGCTTAGAATTCATTACCCACATCCCCATATCAACCATTGGATCAATCGCTGCCATCTGTAGCGTCAGCGTTGATCTTATCAACTTTGAGGTAGGAACGCCGTAGAACAGCTCCTTAACATCGTCAAAATTGATAATGTTATTCTTGTCAGGGACTGTATTAATCTGTGGTACGGTATCCACCAGATTTGGTGTCGTGACGGTGGTGGCGTTAAAATCGCCGGTGAAACTTAAAGGCGGGACGGCGGAAAGGGGAGACGGAGCTGAGTTTAAACGGCGGACATGAAATCCGAGGTTCTTGAGTAGTTTCGGACAAACAACCTTGTTGGCCATGCAACGGTGGACGGCGGAATTTGTATTTTGTGTGTGTTTATTTCTTTCTCTGTTTAATGAATGTGTAAAGTTTCTGAATGTTGCATGGTATTTATAGAAGAGGAACAATGTATATCTGGTCAAAGTGATAACTTAAAATACGGGTAATTTCTAGAATTTTTAAATCATGCTGAGTAGATGCTGTGTTGTGACTGACGATGTATCACTGTGGATAGTCAGTACCACCATGTGTATTTCACGGTTAAATTTTTATCTCTTAGCTGTTATTTGTTCCACTTGTCTTGGATTCGCCTTTTTGTACTACATTTAATTATGATTGAATATTTTCCTAGTTTCTTGGACGCTTCTGAATATTAAGTTCGTGACCACTTTGCACTACAACTTATTTTTTGCTTTGCGGCTCTATACATGCTTTTTGGAAATAATTCTTTTTTTAAAGCCCTCTTGTTAGAAAATTAATACCAACTTAGATTATTCTTCTATTGTTAAGCCAACTTGTTAGAATTAATACCCACTTTACTAGTTAACCAATGATTTCACTTGATAATCTATTTTTCATCATTCGGAATAAATAAAAAATATGGTTTCAAAGAATCAGAATCTCCGCCTCAATATCAGATTCCAAAAGGGAATCTTTAGATCATGCATGGCTAGTAAATTTGATCAAAATGCCCATACTATCATATGGGAGCAATAAATAAATGCATGTAATTTTAATAATTTTGCGTACACTAACTTGCAAAACATCAATTACTTTTTATTAATTTCACCTTATTAAAAATTTTAATCTTTTTCCTGGTGTTAATCTTCAAAAATGTTACTTCTATCATTCTAAGGGTAAAAGGGAAAAGAAATTAATTTTATTTTGACAATTTATTACCATAATAATAAAGGACAAGAGTATCTATTATCTTTACTGGAATTCAAATCATTATAATCAAAGTTTAAAAATCCTTAAAAAGGGTAATGAATTTTCTTCTTTGTTTGCTTCAAGGTTTAAAGGATTTTCTAATTTGACGGATCAAAATTCCATTTTAGACCGTCTAACACGTGATTTAGATTCCATGGTAATTGGCTTTCCAAAAGAGGGATTGTTGGGAAAGCACTCGCGAATATGCTTTGTAATAGGCCTACGTGTATATTACGTGCCAAGTGTGAAAGTGGAATTTATTGAGCGAAATAAATGGTGCGTTACAGCCTTTACTATGTTTTGGAACAGCTTTGATTTGGTTGGTGTTTTCTTAGGCGCGCGCGTGACATTAGCATCTACCCCAGAGGAGATAAAGTTTGATGTGTCAGCAGTGTGTCAGACAAGGTACCACTGCCACCTAATATGGAAGCATTCAATTCCCTTTTTTAGCTTATTTTCCGATCGTATTTTTCGATATTCAGATTAGGAGCTTATTTTCCGTTCTTATTTTTCGGTATTTGGATTAGGACAATTTATTGCGCTCATATTCTTCTTTTAGCAGATCCTACAGATGTGACGGAGATTCGGAATCTTTGTAAATCAATTACCACATCGTTTACATAGTCTAAATTTGTTCGAGCAAAAAGTTTGAAATTATTTTGCCAAACCTCAATTATCGATAATAAAAAAGATGAATTTTAGTCAAGTATAATCAATTTCAGATCTAAAAGCGTATAACGAGAAATAATGAAGGATAGGAACATCTCATATCTATTGATGTTATTATCATCCCTCCCACAAGAGGAAAAAGGAGTTTACATTCTTAGACAAAAGTGAAAATTGTAGAAAAAGCTCCCTTTTTCAGAAATTCCCCCCTCTATATGTTGGCCCAAGAACAGGTGAAGTTTTGAAAAATGACAAATGAACTTAGTCATGGACCATGTCCATCTTGTGAAGCACTGTTATGATCAACCTACACATGTGAGATGCACGTGAAGGAGATAAGTCCTACTGATCAAGCAGCAATATCTCCTGATCTGATCGAAAAGGTTGCATATTGGATAAGGGGAGAAAGTCTCCTTATATAAAGAGAACACAATCCGGATAAAGAGAGTGTTAGAGTTTGATATCTTCAAGGATTCAACTACGATAGAAGATCAGAAATTGAGTCCCAATCACACTCTGACTTCTAACCTATTAAATGACAGTGATTGTTTTCTTTTACAGGTATTGCACAAACGCAGAAGTTAAACAAAATTGAAAGCAAAAGAGCAAGACGATTTTGCAAGTAATTTGTGTGAGATTTGAGTGTGCACTCCTGAAGCTACTTGAACGAGATAGAAGAACCAATTCCATTGTGTTTTTTCTTATTCTAGTTCAATTGTAGTTGGTGGTTTAAAGTTGTACCTTTCAGTTTTCATAGAAGCAAAATTATTAGGTACTTTGAGTGTTCAAGTTATAATCTAACTTGAAGTTGTCGCAACAGCTGAGGCTGTGTGCTACACCGAGATTAGAGGTAATCCTTAGGTTTACAAAGAGTTTTGTAAATGCTGTTTTGGCTCAATGATTTTAGTGAAAGTTTGGAAAAATCCTACTGAGTAGTAGGTCGTGGTTTTTTTACCTTTTGAGCCAGGTATTTTCCACGTAAAAATCTCTGTGTTCTTTACTTTATGTACTTTTTATTCCGTAAACAGTAGTTGTTAGAACACCTAGAAGAACCAGGTTCTTCTAGAGCGAAAATTGGGTACCACACAAATCACTCCCCCTCTTGTGTGGTATTGACATTTAGAACATCAATTGGCATCAGAGCGGGTTATACTTGAAGAGGCTAACACCTTAGGAAAAGATCAACATGAGTGCACCACCTAGGAATTGGGAAGGGCAATCCACTGCTAGGCCTCCACTCTTCAATGGTCAATACTATTCGTGGTGGAAGAACAGGATGAGGGATCACATCATAGGAGAAGACTATGAACTCTGGGACATAGTCACTTATGGTCCTCTAGCCACTACTAAGAAGAATGCTGAAGGAGTGGATGTGCCAAAGATAAGAGCTGACTGCACTACTGAAGACCTGAAGAAGTGGGAGAAGAATGCCAAGGCCAAGAAATGGCTTGTGTGTGGACTAGGTCCAGATGAGTATAGTAGAATTCAAAGTTGTACCACTGTTAAGGAAACCTGTGACACTTTGCAAGTGGCTCATGAAGGAACACCTCAGGTGAAGAGGTCCAGAGGAACACTGCTGTATTCTCAGTATGAGAATTTCACCATGAAGGAAGGAGAAACCATCCAAGAGATGTATACAAGGTTCACCACACTGACAAATGAACTTAAGTCTCTAGGAAGGATTATCTTGAAGAAGACAAAGTTGAGAAGATTTTGACAAGGGTTCTGCCAGTTTCTTGGGAAAGAAAAATCACTGCTAATCAGGAATTAAAGAACATTGCTACCCTCAAGCTGGATGAACTAATTGGAAACCTTACTGCCTATGAACTGAGAAGGCAAACCATGAAAATAGATGCACCAAAGAAGGAAAGAAGTCTGGCTCTCAGAATTGCTGAAGGTTCAGATCTGGAGGATGATGAAATGGATATGATCACAAGAGATTTCAAAAAGTACCTGCTGAGAGGAAAGAGTTCTTCAAGAGGTACAACCTTCAACAAACCAAGGGCTCTTGAGAAACAGACCAATAAGGGTTGCTACAAGTGTGGTAAGACTAATCACATGATCAAGAATTGCCCTCAATGGGAACTTGAGTGGAAGAAGGAAATGGCTGAACGAAGGAACAGGAAGAAGGAATAAGTTCAACCAAAGAGGAACAAAGGATCAACAAAGGCTATGGTTGATACCTGGGGAGAAACATCAGATGAAGACTTAGAAGATGAAGCTGGAGATGAACAAACACTTATGGCCATCGGAGAATCAGATGATGAACAAGAGGTAAGTATTCTTCGTCTTTAAGACAAGATTAAATTCCTGTCTAAAGAAAGGTTGTCTGAACTACTGCTAGACTTCATTGATGAGTCTGAGATTATTAACAATGAGAAGGAAGAGCTGTCTAGGGAATGTATGATCCTAAAAGCCAAGTGCAAAAATTTAGAGTCTAGGGCTAATGAGAGTGAAAGTGAAAATACTGAGTTGAAGAACCAGGTTCTTGAACTTGACACTAGTGTCCTAGAACTTAGGTCTGAAAACTTAAAACTGAAACTAGGAACAGGAAAGAAGAAAGTTGATCACACACATCTCACCCTAGAAGAAAACTTAAGAAAAATGAAGGATGAGCTGTATAGGAAAGATGAGCATATAAGAGTATTAAAAGAAGATCTAGGGAAGGTAAAACATGAACTAGACAGAACTTGCAAATGGAACAAGGCTTCTGATGCACTCTCCTGGCTACAAGAACATCACAGTAGCAACAAAAGAGGACTTGGTTATGGGTTTCAAACACCTAGTGGGATCCTAAAAGCAAGTATCTCACTCTTCCTAAGAACAAAATTTGCACACATTGTGGCAAGACTGGCCATTACAAAAATGAATGTAATGCAAAAGAAAAGGCCAGTCAAAAGAACAAAACTTTTGTTCAAGAAACAAATAGGCTGCCTGGGTGGGCTAGAAGGAATCTGATGTATCCCTTTGCCCGTAAAAAGGGACCCAAACTAGTTTGGGTTCCTAAGACTAACCTCTGATTTCTTTTTGCAGGTCCAAGTGAAGGGAAACAGCCAAATATGGTACATGGATAGTGGTTGCTCAAAACATATGACTAGAAGCAAGAACCAGTTCCTTTCACTTGAGGATTTAAGGGGAGGCAATGTCTCCTTTGGAAATGGGAAGAAATGTGAGATCATTGAGGTTGGAAAGGTAGGTAAGAGAGACTCTCACTCCATTGAGAATATCTACTTGATAGATGGCTTGAAATACAGCTCGATCAGTGTGTCACAACTATGTGACAGAGATAACCTGCTAGCATTCACCTCTAATAAATACTTTGTGATTAACCTTACCACTGACAAGATTGTTTTGTAGGAAAAAAGAGTTAACAATATTTACAGTGTAGATTTGTCTACTCTCTCAGAAAATGAACTAACCTGCCTAAGTGTGTTGAATAATGATCCCCTCCTATGGTACAAAAGACTTGGTCATGCCAGCCTGAATCAACTAAAC